ATTCACCTGCTAAGTGATGCATCATTTTCACAAATCATAAGAACCCCCATTTAAAAAATCCTAGTGCATTCGTTTGCTCTGGCTGTCATACAGAGTACCACAGACTGGATGGCTTAAACAACAGACATTTATTTTCTCACAATTCTGGAGGCTACAAGTCCAAGATTAAGGTGTTGGTAGAGTTGCTTTGTTCTAAGACCTCTCTCCTAGGCCTGTAGATAGCCGTTTTCTCCCTGCAACTTTACATGATCCACCCTCTGTTCCTATGTCCAGATTTCCTTTTTTTTTTTTTCTTCTTCATACAGGAGTCGAACCAGCAACCTTGCTGTTAAGAGCACACTCTCTATCCACTGAGCCATCCGGGCGGCAGCTCAGCTAAGGTGCTGAATTCAGTCCCAGCCACTGGTGGGCGTAGCCCACCATCAAACAGGCAACTTTGTTGTTAGGAGCACGTGCTCTCACCAACTGAGCCATCCTGCCACCTGTTGGCAGCTCAGCAGCAGCTCAGCTCGGGTGAAGTTCGGGCGCAGCTCACTGGCCCATGTGGGACTCGAACCAGCGGCCCTGTTGCTCAGAGCTCGTGCTCTTAAACAAACTCTTAACCAACTGAGCCACTCGGCCGGCCCTCAAATTTCCTCTTATAAGGACACCAGTCATATTGAATTGGGGTTCATCCTGACAACCTCATGTAACTTCATTACTTCTGTAAAGACCTTAAGTAGTCACATTCTGAGGTACGAAGGTTAGGATTTCAACATGAATTTTGAGGAAACACAACTCATCCCATAATACCTAGTAAACAAGTAGACTTAGCTTGAACAGCTACACTATTTTTTTTTCCCATGAAAGTCATGAATTTCTTCTTCCAACTATTTGGTTAATTATTAATACAAATTGCTTGTCACAGTAATAAAATTTAAACCTGCGTTGAGAGTAGCCTAAAGGAAGATACTGCAGAATAATGTACTGAGCCTTTAGGCAGCGGTTCTCAACCTTCCTAATGCTGCGACCCCTTAATACAGTTCCTCATGTTGGGGTGACCCCCAACCATAAAATTATTTTCGTTGCTACTCTATAACTGTCATTTTGCTACTGTTATGAATCGTAATTCAAGTATCTTTTTGTTTTCTGATGGTCTTAGGTGACCCCTGTGAAAGGGTCGTTCGACCCCCAAAGGGGTTGTGACCCACAGGTTGAGAACCGCTGGTTTAGAGGACCCTCAAAGGTACTCAAAGCTAAAGCGCACCTGGTTATACAGTTTCTAAATCCGTAGCTCAACATGTTGTTGACAGCAGCTAACACTCCCTGCTCAGTGGCGATGGCCGTGTGCTTCACGTGGCTTTTTAATTTCCCTGAGAGGCTTTGTAGCACATGCACCACAAATGACTCTTCAAGGAAGCTAGGAGAAGCCTAACTGTAACTCATTCTAAGGATTACTTTTTTTTTTTCTTACTCACTTCTAAGGCTCCTACTTATATACCACAATGGCATTCCTTAGTTTTCTTGTGCTATAAATATTAGTCAGTATAAATTATTCTCTATCTACCCTTCTTGTTAAAAAAAAAAAAGAAGTTGATTCAAAGACCCTCAAATACAATATATTGGTTTGCTTCTTCGTTATGACTTCTGTTATGTCTGTGAGGTAGTTCGCTTCAAAATCACTTCAATATAAGGTGTGAGACCAACACGTTCTAATTTATTCCCTAGGAGTGGTTAGTGTTTGAAGAATTCTAATCAGAAATTGACACTCCAGAAATGGTTACTGAGGCCTTCAACTATCATGATCAAAATCCATATCCGGAGGGTTGTTACTTAACCTAAGGGATAGAAGTAATTTTTCATTGGGGAAATGAGTGGTTTTGAGGCGAGTGATTGTTGAGGCATTGGGTGCAGCTCCCACTGCACTTCCATGAACGAGGCATGAGAATACGGCAGGCTCAACGGTTTACCAGCTCCTGTAAAGCCCTTGTCATCTAGGGGCTCCTCAGTCCTGTGTCCTTCCCGGAGCATCCTGCACTCTGACAAACCACAGCCCTGGCTCGTCCTTTCATCTGAACATGCTTCCGTCTACCTCAGGATGAC